GTGTGTGTCCTTGTGTGTTGTGTGATTTGTGTGTTGTGTTGCTGCGTTGTTGAGCTTTAAAAAGAAACAAACACACAGCTCAGAGTTCTGGTTCACCTCATTACCCAACGTCACCAACAGCTAAATATATGCTCACATGAGAGCTGCAGCTCAGGTCCACTGATCACAGCTGATCACATGGGTCAAGTCTCAGACTCAGACTCAGTCTCAGACTCGTGAACTCAGTCTCAGACTAGTCTCAGACTCAGTCTCAGACTCAGTCTCAGTCTCAACTCAGTCCTCAGACTCAGACTCAGTCTCAGCTCCAGACTCAGCTCAGTACTCAGTACTCGAGTCTCAGACTCAGTCTAGCTTCAGACTCACGAGTCTATCAGATCAGATCTCAGACTCAGCTCAGCTCAGTCTATCAGTCTCAGTCTCTCAGACTCAGTCTCAGACTCAGACTCAGACGTCAGACTCAGTTCTCAAGTCTCGAGTCTCAGACTCAGTCTCAGACTCCAGTCTCTAGTCTCGAGTCTCCCTCTCTCGGGAGTAGTTAGTCTCTCGTCTAGAAATCTCCATCCTCTCTCTGGGTGCGTGTTGAGCTTTAAAAAGAACAAACACACAGCTCAGAGTTCTGGTTCACCTCATTACCCAACAGTCACCAACAGCTAAATATATGCTCACATGAGAGCTGCAGCTCAGGTCCACTGATCACAGCTGATCACATGGGTCAAGTCTCAGACTCAGACTCAGTCTCAGACTCAGACTCAGTCTCAGTCTCAGTCTCAGACTCAGTCTCAGACTCAGTCTCTGTCTCAGTCTCAGTCTCAGACTCAGTCTCAGACTCAGTCTCAGACTCAGTCTCAGACTCAGACTCAGTCTCAGACTATTATCACCAAACTCAGCCCATTATCTTTCAACGATGTGAAGATCGTCACAAACTCCTTCATTTCCTCCTGGCTGGATTTCTGCTGCAGTGTTTAAGTAACCTAAACTAGGTTTAACTAGTTTAACTGTATAACTGTGTTTAAGTAACTACCTGCCTTTGTTTGACTAGTTTAATCGTGTATAACTAACTATGTGCCCGTGTTTAACTAGTTAAACTAGCTGCTCCACTGTAAACAGCTCCTCTCTCAGAGTCCATGTTACTGTTGAAGCTGCTGATTTAAAAACACTCCAGTTCATTAGAAAAGACTTTGACACTTTGTCACTTCGTCAGTACTGACAACTCTTCTTCTTCTTCTTCTACTTCTTCTTCTGCTTCGCCGTGAAGAGCAGCTTCCTGTTGAGAAGAGGAAGTTTGTCCTGTGTAGATAAAAGTCGAGGTCGCCCTGCAGCTGCCGGTCACTGCAGCGCTGCAACACCCTGCACCACACACACACCGCAGCAGGAACTCACCCACATACAAGTTTCCACTACACACACACACACACACACACACACACACACACACACACACACACACAGCTGGTCCTCAGAGAGTCAGTAACACTACTGTGAAAACCACAGTGGAAACATCCTGCAGTACTAGTGAAGGGTAACTCCTCTGACACAGTTCAGATCATGTTTCAATGACACAGTCTTCACTCTTTGATCTTTTTATATTTTACATGATGAGATCTTGTGGAGCTGGAAGCGTCTGTGTGGCTGATTGTGTTTATAGAGGCTGAATAACTCTTCTAGAAGTGATGCTTCTATAGAACTGCAACAGCAAATATGAAGGAAATGTCTCTGAGACCAGATCATGTTTTCTACAAGAAGTCTGCGAAATAATAAGCTCCTGGTTCCGGTCTATGAGTCTTAGTCAGTGTGGAAGTGGACCCACTAGAACAGGCCTCATCTCGTTACCTGTGCTGCTCCGCCTGTCACCTGTCCATCAACAGGTGACAAACAGGTGCAGCTTCACTGACCGCGTCACATCAGTGTGGTTGTGTGAGGTCAGAGGTCAGACTGGTTCAAGCTGACAGGAACTCAAATAACCACGTTACGACGGAACGACCTGACAGCGAGAAGAAGAAGAGCAGAGCTGACGACAGGAAACGGTGGACTCCGTCAGCTCTGACTGTGTCGTACGTTCAGTGAACGCATCACTGAACATGCAGCGACAGGATCTGAGAGACTTCAGCTCCTATAAACTCAGGTTTAGTGCAGCTGCTCAGGTTTTCGCTGTGTCATGCAGAAGTTCTGCTGACTCGTATATTTGACTGTAAATCTGAAAATGATTCCCTCTGAGGAATGAACAGATGGTTTCACTTTCTACGTCTTTACACTTCTGCTGCACATGTTCTCCTTTTACTGCTGCACATTTATTCTATTGAAGATTTTACTCTAATAAAAAGATCAAGTTATAATTATAAACACACTGATGGAACCTGTTCCCCACCCTCTTGTTTTGAGAATGCATGTGTGTGTGTGTGTGTCTGTGTGTGTGTCACGAGAGAGATCTGTGACTGAACTCCTGCAGCAGCTTTCAGTCAGAACTTCCTCTGTCGCACCTTCAACCAAACCTCACTTCCTCTTTCTCAACTCTTTTCCTATCGCAGTTAAATTTAGCAGCCTGCGGCTAAAATGACACATTCATCTGCTGCGACACACACACACACACACACAGCAGACACACACACGAACACACACACACACCACACACACACGAACACACACCACACCACACAGACACACACAAACAACACAACTACACACACACAACACAACACCACACCACACACACAACACACACACAGACACACACAACACACCACACACACACACCACACACAGACACACACACAAGACACACACACACACCACAGACACACACACCCACACACACACACACACACACACACACACACACAGAACACACACACAGACACACACACAGACACACACACACACACACAGAACAGCACACAAAACAAACCACACACACACACACCACAACAGCCCACACACACCACACACACACACACACACACAGA